GAGAAATCACCCCCCAGGGGGTTGGTCACGTCACAATCCCTTCTCCTCCATTCTTCTCTCGGGATCTTGGGCACGCACGCACACGCGCCCAGTGTGAGTTTTTTAAGCCACCGGGTCCGGGACGTGAACCTCAGTCGACTACTTGGGAGTCCAGCGACATAGCCATTACGCTAACTGCTGGTTCCCATAGTGAAATTTTCATTACTCTTTTCTCAGTAAAAACCTGTCAAATATCTCTGTCATGTTTATATATCTTCTTCATATTTGCGATAATAGATATTAACAACTGTTGTTGTAATGACTATTAACATACTTACCCGTATATGTAGGTATGTTATAGCTTAACATATTTGTGTGTATATGGTTATTAATATTTATATGCAACATGTGGCTATTGATGTATTATACCTTGTACTTGGGGTTCTGTAACTATTCATGTATTACAATTCATTGATTTTTGTTTAAAATATCTGACTTTGCATATTTCCTCTTTTGTAGCAATTCAAACAGTATTTAATCTGTATTTTTAATTTCTTTTAAAGCAAGAAGATGAACAAGGTGTAAAGTGTAGCCATACTGATTTAGAAAGCATTACTAAAAATTCGGTTGGAAGTTCATTGAGGAGAGTAAACAAAGAAGAAATAGGTAAGTTATTCCAATTCGTTGTTTTTTGTTTTTGCTTTTTTTTTTAGTTTTTGTTGTAGGGTATGTGCACTCACATATGTGCGCTCACAGTGGGCAGGGGAGGAAATCACCCTCGAAGGGGGAATTGCCATGCAGGATTCCTTCTCCGGGAGGAAAGCACCCTCAAAGGGGGAATTGCCATGCAGGATTCCTTCTCCTCCTGTCTCCTCTCAGGATTTTGTGCATGTATGCACACGCACCTGGTGTGATTTTCCAGCTTCCGGGTTCAGGACTCAAGACTACAAAGTCAACCATGTGAAATCTTTAACCTCCTTGCTACCTGCTGGCCCCCATGTTACTCAAATTCTAATCATTGCTTATGTAGGGAACTGGGGAATATAAAGAAAATAGCAATTTTCACATAGGTCTCAGGTATTAAAAGCAAGTGTATAGCCAGAAATTTATAAATTTATTCAGTTATTTATATAATATTACAGGAATAATTTACTCACAAAAATAGAGGTTAGTATTTATCAATAAGAGCCAATAGGGACAGTAGTGTTCCTTATGCTTATGCTATGTACTACATAAAGCAAAGCATACGTTTGTTTAAGTCCTCTTGGGGCTTCATTCTTGTACATTGTGTAATATTGATATGTGACTGTCTATGTTGTATGTTGTTGTTATTTATGTTTTTAGAATTTTTGCCTTAGGGTGCATGTGCTTGGTGGAAAGAGGGAGAGACAGAGCCAGTGAGGGGGAAAGCTAGAAATCACCCACCAGAGACATGGCAGTGCTGCAGTCCCTTCTCCTCCAGTCTCATCTTGGGCATGCATGTACATGCGCCCAAGGTGAGTTTGAAGCCATGGGGTCCCAGCACTTAAACTATGTGTGAGTACAGCAACGTAACTGCTATGCCATCTGCTGGCCCCTGTATTTTTTAAATTTGATTACTTTAATGATTATTTTGCCCTTTCCTTTTGGATTTTAAAAAAATTGTTTTGCTATTAGGCTTGAAAGAACATTGTTGCTAGTTGTTCTAAGTTTTTTTTTTTTTTCTTTTTTCTTTTTAGAGAGAGAGACTTTTACCATAGGGTGCATGCTCTCACCAGAGAGACAGAAAACAAGAAATCACCCTTCAGAGAGGATGGGCATGCACACAGCCATGCCTGGTGCAAAGTTTTGTGTTTTTTTTTTCCATAATTATTTAACTTTATTCACTGTCATTATTTTATTTTATTTTTAAAAAGTTGACCAGAGGGACCAGCAGTTAGCATAATGGCTATGTCGCTGGACTCCCATGTAGTCGACTGCGATTGAATCCCAGACCTGGTGGCTTAAACTCACGCTGGGCACGTGTGTGTGCGTGCCCTAGATCCTGAGAGGAGAATGGAGGAGAAGGGATTGTGGTGTGGCCATCCCCCCTGGGGAGTATACATGCCCTATAGCAAAACCCTCTCCAAAAGAAGAAAAAAAAAAAGGTGACCAGAGAGAGAGGGAAAGTGAGAAAGTGTGCTGCCAGGTCTGGGACTCAAAACGGCCTTCAGCCATGTGGGAGTCCAGCAGTCCTAACAACCATGCCACCTGTCAGCTCCCCAGCAGTTCCAGGACTTGACAAAACGGCCATCAACCATGTGGGAGTCCAGCAACATAACCATTACGCCATTGCTAGTCTCTAGATCTTGAGTTTTAAAGAGAAAAGAAATACTTTTTTATATCATTAAAATATATTTATGTGTCTAGGTAAATAAATAAAATACTATGCAAATTCTTTTTTACACTTTAAAATTAGGTATTAAGTCAGGCCATCTGAAGAAAGCCAGTTCACCAAGTCCTCATAGGAGACAGTGGGAGAAAAAAGCGCCGAATGTGGCTCTAACAGCTTTGGAAAATGCATCCATACTTACTTCCAGTTTGACAGCGGAGGATGACAGAGGTTAGTGGTCAGAATGAATACTTCCTTTTTAAAAAATTATTTTATTTTACTTATTTTATTATTGTTATCAGTTTTAATTTGACCAGAGAGAGAAAGGAGGGGCGGGGGGGGGAGTGAGAAAGCAAGCCACTGGGTCTAGGACTTGAACAGCAGTTGGCCATGTGGGAGTGCAGCACTTTTAACCACCACACCACCTGTCAGCCTCCTCTATTATTTTTTAAAGAATTATTTAACTTTCTTATCATTATTATTTTTTTAAATTTGATATAGGCACTGACTAGAAAGAGAAAAAGTTGGAAAACAAGCCACCAGATCTGGGACCCAAACCACGGTCACCCATGTGAGAGTCCAGTGCCCCAATCACCACATCACCTGCTGGCCCCTACTTCTATTTTTTTATAGAAAAATTTATAATAGTTATTTAGTGACCTAGAGGTTTTTTAATGCCACTCTGTGAAAGATATTTGGCATCACACGTCAGAGAACTGTTCATACAGGCAAGTGAAATGAGTTTTAATTGAGAGTCGCATATAATTAGCTTTGCTTGGAGTATGATCTAGAAGAAACATACTGAAAATGTTTATATTTGACACTAATTGTTTTCCTACAACCAGGAGGTTCTGTAATAAAGTACAGTGAAAATAATACCCGTAAGCAGTGGCTGAAAGAGACCCCTGATACCTTGTTGAACATCTTTAAGAATGCTGATCTCAGTCTGGCTTTTCAAACATACACAATATATAGACCAGGTAATTTCTGTTCATTACCTAACCATGGGAATCCTTTCACTGAAAAAATTTGTGGTAAAATATAAATAACATAAAATTTACCATCCTAATCACTTTTTTAAAAGTTTACTTACTTATTTCTTCCATGAAATAAGAGGGGGTGGGGAAGAGACAGCATCCCCAGCCAATTTGGAGAGAGGAAAGCTCAAAGGGAAAACAAATTACCTGTAATCCAACTCACAAAAATAATCTTTAATGCTTTAATATAGATTCTTATGTTTGGAAGTTTTTATTGTACATCTGAGGTTTTTTTCTCTCTCCCTTTTTTTTTTTTTTTGGTTTGGAAGTTTTTTTTGTACATTTGAGGTTTTTTTCTCTCTCTCTTTCTTTTTTTTTTAGAGAGATTTTTGCTACAGGGCACATGTGCTCACCTTAGAGACAGAAAGCAAGAAATCACCTCCCCCCAGGGGGGATGGTCACACCGCAATCCCTTCTCCATTCTCTCAGAATCTTGGGCACGCACACACACATGCTCAGCATGAGTTTTAAGCCACCAGGTCTGGGACTGGATCCATAGTCGACTATGTGAGAGTCCAGAGAAGTAACCATTATGCCATCTGATGGTCCCTGAGTTTTTTTCTCTTGAAGAGCTCTTTTCAAATTTATTTCATATACTGATGTTTCCTGGACATGTTTTATGCCCCCAAATCTTTCTGGGTGATGAGGGGAGGCACTACAAAAGGAATAAGGAACATGGTATTTCCCTCTATTAGCCAGCAAGCATTGGAGGGCTTCAGTTCAGCATGCAGGAAATAAGAAGTATGTTTAAATTGACATAATTTTTGTTAATATTTGCCTGAAGGTTCAGAAGGGTTCTTGAAAGGCCCCCTGTCTAAAGAAACAGATACATCAGACAGTGTCGATGGAGATTGCGATGCTACCATTTTGGATCCAGAGAGACTCGAACCTAGGCTGGATGAAGACGACACGTATGTTGTGATACACTCAGAAAACTTTAGTTGCTGTGGGTGTGAGTGCGTACATATATGTGTGATTTAAATTCGATTATAGCAATTTCAGGTGTTGTGTATTGCTGTCATAATGCTTTTCATCATGAGTGTTTATATTTTGGTCTGTTGTCTGAGATCAGTAATGTGTTATGATATTAAGGCATTCCCAGCTGAGCTCTACGCATAC